CACGGAGGTGGAGGGGTTGCCAGCCAACCAGGGAAGGACCAGCAGCAAACCCGGGAAGGGCCGAGCAGACAGGAGAACAGCGCAGGGTCTGGTGTCGTTCCTCCGCGAATGGGGGAGCGACATCTTCCTTCCGTTGGTTCACCCTCCAAATGGCCATTACGGCTGGCACTGCGCCGATCCCAAGCCAGGAGCCAGGTGTTTCCTCCTGGTCTCCCATGTGGGTGCAGGAGCCCAAGCACTTGGGCTATCCTCCACTGCCTTTCTGGGCCACAGCAGACAGCTGGACTGGAAGAGGGGCAACTGGGACAGAACAGAACCAGCGCCCAAACTGGGACTAGAACCCAGAGTGCCAGCGCCACAGGCGGAGGATTAGCCTAGTGAGCTGTGGCGCCGGCCTGCAAATATAGTTTTGTCAAACTTTGTTTTATATCTTTGTCAAACCGATGGTAATGAATGATATGCTACTATAGTTGTAATTACCTGTGATTATCTTAAAATTTACTGTATGTAAGAGAAATGAATATTTTTTCATTTGGTTATTGTTTATAGCCCTTGACTATATTTCCACTGATCTATGATCTGCTTACTTTTTACATATTGACCATTTTATTTAGTGGAGCATTGGGTCTTTCACTACAATGTAAGTTAAAAGGATGTTATCTTAAATATAAGAAAGAGAAGAAAAAAGAAAATAATAAAAAAGGAAGGAAGGGAAGAGAAATAAGGAAAGAAAGAAGGGAAGCAAGGAAGGAAAGAAGTGGAAGGAAGGGAAGAATTACTATTCTCAGAATTGAGAATTTGTTCTCTTTGTATTAATATCACATTAGCAGAAGAATTGTGTTGTAGTGATTATCATGCATTTTCTATAACCCTAAGAATGAAATGTATTGCTAAATTCCTTAAAAATAAATGAAATAAAATAAAGAAGTTCATAAGGCCCCAGCATAAGAAAATGATGAGGGCAAGTGTGAACTAGAAATAACCATAGAACAATCCATGTGGAGAGGTACCTTTATAAACTATTCAGAAAAATTCATAGAGAATGAAGATAGAAATGCCAAAGAATTAAGGGTAAGTTTGCACTGGAGTGGCAGCTTCTAAAGACATAGAAAAACTTGCATCTTGCTCTAATCTTGGAATTTTGAGCACTGCTATCTGTAAATTTCATTTTAAATCTAACTCTTCTATCCAGAATAATTTCTCTCTCTCTCTCCATATATATATATATATATATATACACACACACATATATATATATACACACACACACACACATATATATACATATATACACACACACACATATATATATTGTTTTTTATAATCACATGAACAATGATCCTACAAAGTAATTTATGAAAAGTAATTGCATATGTAGATGCATTATGGCTTTTATAAAATGTTGCTCCCTGGGCCGGCGCCATGGCTCACTTGGTTAATCCTCATTCTGCAGAACTGGCATCCCATATGGACACCAAGTTCTAGTCCCGGTTGATGATCTTCCAGTCCAGCTCTCTGCTGTGGCCCTGGAGGGCATTGGAGGATGGCCCAAGAGCTTGGGCCCCTGCAACCGCATGGGAGACCAGGAGAAGCACCTGGCTCCTGGCTTCAGATTGGCACAGCGCTGGCCGTAGTGGCCATTTGGGGAGTGAACCAGTGGAAGAAAGACCTTTCTCTCTGTCTCTCTCTCTCTCTTTCACTGTCTATAACTCTACCTGTCAAATAAAAAAAAAGTTCTAATCTTATCACCTTATACACTGATAAACTCTACTTCTGAGTACTTAGAAAAAGCAATGGGCTTCTAGAGAAGTTCCCTGAAAAATATACTGAATTAAGAAGAAATCCATGTAATTTGTGATTTATGATATTGCTATATTTTACTTAATGTTTCAGACTTTAGGAAGGCTCAATTAACTTAATAGCAATCCTGATCTCTAATACATAAAACATTCATTCCCTGTACTCTGTACTTTGATCAAGCTAGTCTGAAGACAAGTGGGTGAGTCCTTGCCTCATGGTGTGGTCTGAATTTGGCCTGTTAAAATGGAAAGTTCTTGAGAATTCTGGTGGCCAGGTGAGCTTCTTTGGGATCTGGTTACAGGTTATAGATTATGGGGAACCCTGTCTTCTGTTAATTCAGAGTAATTATTTGGATTCAGAGTTCAGCAATGTGTTCTCATTGAGTATTACTTCCTATTATTACAAATTTGTGGCTCTTGCCTGCCCTCTCTTAAATCTGACCACTTAGGGCTCATTGTCTCTCTTGGAGTTCTGAGAAAAGTCATTTTTTTAAAAAGATTTATTTACTTATTTGAAAGGCAGAGATACAGAGAAAGAGCCATTTGGTTTACTCCCCAAATGGCTGCAATGGCTGGAGCTGGGCTGATACAAAGTCAGAATCAAAGAGCTGCTTCTGGGTCTCCCACATGGGCCCAAGCACTTGGGCCATCTTCCGCTGCTTTCCAAGGCACATTGGCAGGGAAATGGCTCAGAAATAGAGTATATGGGCCGGCGCCGCGGCTCACTGGGCTAATCCTCCACCTTGCGGCACTGGCACACCGGGTTCTAGTCCCGGTCGGGGCGCCGGATTCTGTCCTGGTTGCCCCTCTTCCAGGCCAGCTCTCTGCTGTGGCCCGGGAGTGCAGTGGAGGATGGCCCAAGTGTTTGGGCCCTGCACCCCATGGGAGACAAGGAGAAGTACCTGGCTCCTGCCATCGGATCAGCGTGGTGCACCGGCTGCAGCGTGCTGGCCGTGGCGGCCATTGGAGGGTGAACCAACAGCAAAGGAAGACCTTTCTCTCTGTCTCTCTCTTTCACTGTCCACTCTGCCTCTCAAAAAAATAAATAAAAAAAAGAGAGAGAGAAATAGAGCATCTGAGGCTCAAACCAGTGCCCATATGTGATGCCTGCACTGCAGGAGTCATATTTACCCGCTATGCCACAGTGCCAGCACCAAAATGTCACTTTTATAAACTTGTTTTGTTGGGAACACAGCTGAATTGATGTTACTCATTCTGTGACTTTTGGGACCTGGTAATGAATAGCATAATTCCATGATGTAAATGTCAACAGAATACATGAGTCCAGAGAATTCATGAAGTGTATGCAGAATGAGGCAAATCAATTTTCAGAGTATTCTCAAAAGCTTATAGGTATAATTTTCTTTTCAAAACTTGAAAAATAAAATCCTGTACCAAGACAAAAGTCTCCTGAAAAAACAGAAAAGTAGTTTATATCCCATGTCATTGTCATTTCTCCCTCTTGATTTCTAATGTCTAAAAGTCATGACTTCTAATAATTCTTTAGTGGAATCACTGAAGAGGGGGTTTGGAAATTGGGCTTTCTAGGCTAAGTGACTCTTAGGCAACCTTCTTGGAAGAGGTGGCTATTGAAACTTAAAACTGGAGACCGGGTAATGGGGAGTGTGATAGGGAAGATAAAAAAGGAAGAGAGGGAATAAGATTGTGGTGTAGCTGGTAGATGCTGCCTGAGACACCACATCACATATGGGCACTGGTTGGAGACTCAGCTGCTTCATTTCCTCTACAGCTCCTCACTAAGATGCCTCAGAAAAGATGGCCTAAGTGCTTGGGCCCCTGGACCCACATGCAAGAACTGGAAAAAACTTCTTGCTCCTGGATTCAGCCTAGTCCAGCCTCAGTCATCGTAGCCATTTGGGGAATGAATCAATGGGTAGATAATCTCTCTATATCTTGCTCTATCTCTTTATAACTCTGCTTTTCAAATAAATAAAATATTTTTAAAGATTTATTTATTTGAAAGGCAGAGTTAGGCAGAGACAGAGAGAGGTCTTTCATCCACTGGTTCATACCTCAGATGTCTGCAATGGCCAGAGCTGCACTAATCTGAAGCCAGGAGCTAGGAGTTTCTTCCAGGTCTCCCACATGGGTGCAGGAGCCCAAGGACTTGGGCCATCTTTTACTGCTTTCCCAGGCCACAGCAGAGAGCTGGATCAAAAGTGGAGAGGCCGGGCTTCAAACAAGCGCCCATATGGGATTCCAGCACGGCAGGCAGCAGCTTTACCTGCTACACCACCACGCTGGCCCCTATGGAAGAAGAAAGCAGGAAAGGAAATGAAGAGACACAACATTGAATAAAAGTTTTAAATAATATACTAAAATATAATTCCAGAAGTTGTGTTTGCAGGATTGCATAAGATTGATTCAAAAATATATTAGAGACAGAATTTGTAAGCAGTGTTAAATTTCTAAACATGCTTATGTATTAAAAGTCCTGCTGAAAATACTCATATATGTCCAAAGCACTAACATGTTCTATTTTAAGTTATTTATTATTTATTTGAAAGGCAGAGAGAGAGAGAGAGAGAGAGAGAGAGACTTTCATCTGCTGGTTCACTTCCCAAATGGTTGCTGGGTTGATACAAAGCCAGGAGCCTGGAGTTTCTTCCAGGTCTCCCACGTGGGTGCAGGGGCCCAAGGACTTGAGTCATCTTCTACTGCTTCCCCAGGCCATAGCAGAGAGCTCAATAGGAAGTGGAGTAGCCAGGACTCCAATTGGCACCCATATGGGATATTGGCATGGTAGGTGGCAGCTTTATCTGCTATACTACAGCACTGGCCCCAGTCATTAAAAATTTTACTATTTGCTTTTTCCATTACAAAATGGATAAGAGCAAATATTGTAGGTGGAAAATATTTATGGTAAATTAAATCTCTTCTTGATAGTGTTGCATTTGCTCAAAGAGAACTGAACCACTGAAAAATAAGAAGAAAACACATAAACAGACTCATGTAGAAATACATATCATTTATAAGAAACATCAATAAGAGAAAGATGTATTCTTCTATAAAGTTGAGTAAAAACCTTCCCATTTGCCTTAAAGTAAACAAAAAGTAACTTCCACAGGGCCTTTTGACCTAACTATAAAATCAACTGAATGCAATATTCTAAACCTGAAGGAGAATAATTTTATCACTATAAAGTGTATTATTTGGAAATTTTTGACTATGACAAAGTACCTGAAAGTTTTGTTGTGGTTCAGGGTTCTGGAGTTTCACAGGTTTCACAGTTCCGGACTGGGTTGACTCCACTGGTTCAGTCTCTGGTGGTAGCATCCTTACTGAGTTTCTGTGGTGGCACAGGGCATCATAAGGAAAGAGACAGGCTATGGGTGTGTCTGTCTTTATGTCTATCTTTTTCGTTAAATAACAAAACAAACAATACAGCAAAGAAATGGGCAAAGGACTTGAAAAGACATTTTTAAGAGGATGAAATCCAAATAACCTGCAGACACATGAAAAAATGCTCAGGATAACTAACAATCAGGAAAATATAAATAAAAAAACAGTGAGGCTTTGCCTCACTCCAGTTAGAATAGTTATCATCCAAAAATCAAAAACAATGAATACTGGACAGGATGTGGGGAGAAGGCACGGTTGGTGGGAATGTAAACTAGTATAATCTCTTAATACAATTAACATAAGACACTTGGAGCTTAACTCAATAGCCCAGAAGGTCAGTTTAAATACAGCAATTTGGTAGGCAAGATTTCTGAAACTAGACTCAAAGCATTTTCCATGTTAGCAAAAAGATATTCTAACACAGTTGATGTAAGCAAGGACTCTAGAGTTAGAGCCAGGATCAAGGTTCCTACTCATTTCTTACAGAGCTTAAACTCAGATTCAAAACTGACCATGGATATGGCTAAAAAGCCCATGAGAGCATTTCAGGAATGGAAAGCTAAGATACTATTGCAAAAAATGACCTAAATGAAAGATCTCTGTGACATCCCAGTGGAAAGAAGGGGCCATCAAAGAAGGAGGTATCTTTCTCTGAAAGGAGGTGAGAACTTCTACTTTGATTATGGCCCTGTCTAAATAATGTCGGAGTTTGTGGGCTCAAGAGGCTTCCATAGCCTTGGAAGCTCATGACAAGTGCCTTGGGTGATCACTGACACCATAAACAAGAGTGTCAATTGTTAAATCAACAACAGGAGTCACTGTGCACTTGCTCCCCATGTAGGACCTCTATTCTTAATGTGTTGTACTATGAGAATGAACGGTAAAACTAGTCTTCAAACAGTACTTTATACTTTGTGTGTCTGTGTAGGTTCAAACTGTTGAAATCTTTACTAAGTATAGAGTTGATATTCTTTATATAAAGATAATTAAAAATGAATCTTAATGAAGAATGGGAGAGGGAGTAGGAGCTGGGATGGTTTGGGCATGGGAGGGCGGGTATGGGGAGAAGAACCACTGTAATCCAAAAGCTGTACTTATGAAATTTATATTTATTAAATAAAAGCTTTCTATAAAAAAAAAACTGACCATGGGAGTGGTCCTCTTCCCTGCCTCTGAGATGTTGTGAGGTTTGAATTAACTAATACATAAAGCCTGTAAACTAGCATCAGATGCATAATGACCAACAATTCAACATTTCCTAACACTGACAATAATTGAACAATATATCCCTTGCATCAATTATGGGATGAATTGTTACTATAGAACATAGTAGTAGATCACAATGGAAGAATAAAAGAGTTGACAAATGAATACATACATCATTCTTGTCACTTTAGAAGTTTTACCTTATAATTACTGAAAAAATCATCCAACTTATATAAATGTGAATTAGTCCTAGATTATTTTTTCTGGTTACAAGAGATTTAAAAAAGCCAAATACACTAACAGAAGTATTCCCAAAACTTTTCCCATTCAGATCAAATGCTGCAGAGTCACTAACTCATAGTGCTCTTACAACCCTTACATTATTGTCATCAGTGTTAGTCTGAAGCCTGGCTATGCCATGTTTCTTGAGAGTGCCCTATACTTCTTTCTTTGAAATTATTTTTTGAACTGAGAAACTCTTTGCAAGTTTTCATGATAATAATACTATTAGAAATTGTTAATGGAAGGTGGTTGTTGTTGACAAAGCCCACACTTATGCATTTAAGGACACTTACTTTATGACTGAATTTGGTTAATTCTGTTTTTATAAAATCAAATATAATAGCTTATTCTCCAAAGATGTGAAAATATGCAGTCTAGCCCTAATGGAATACACTAGTTTTCTCTGTATTGAGGTATTTCTTAGTGTAAAACCACCCAATGGTGGATCACCTGCTGTATTCTGGTTTGTTACTCAGGAAATAAACTTGAATATAGTTTCATGTAAGTTGATAAATTCCATTTGCCTTCTATATACCTATGAGAGATATTAGATTTCTTAGTGGACTACTTTATATTCATATTTTATATATAGCAGGATAATGTTATAAAGTATATATCAAGAAATCCATTGATGTGCCAGCATTGTGGTACAGTGAGTGAGACCACTGTTTGGGATGCTTAGAGTGCTTGTTTGAGTCCCCATGCTCTACTTAACAATCCAGCTCCCTGATAATATAACTGGGAAAGCTGTGGAAGACAGATTAAGTACGTAAACTTCTGCAACTCATGTGGAGAATCTAGATGAAGTTCCAGGTTCCACGATTTAACATGGCCCAGCTCTGCCTATTGTGGGGAGTGAACCAGTGATGAATAAGATCTCTCTCTCTCTCTTGCTCTCGCTCTTGCTCTCTTGCTCTTTCTCCTTCTCCTCTGCCTTCCGCTCTCCCTCCTTTCACTTTCTCCTTTTCTTTCCCTCCCTCTCTCCCTCTCTCCTAATGAAACAAATAAACAAGTCCTTAAGAAAATATAAATACATTGACAATGAACATCAAAATGATGAAGAGTTCACTAAAAGTTTGAAACAGCTTGGGTGCTTCCTAAAGACTCAGAAAAAAAGTTATATGTTGAGAATTTGTCTTACTGTTAGGGATATAAACAGCATTTGCTCTAAGACACCTTCAAATACAATTCTAAAGTAACAAAGTTTTTTTTTTTAAAGATTTGCCTAGGGGCTGGCACCATGGCTCACTTGGTAAATCCTCCGCCTGCAGTGCCAGCATCCCATATGGGGGCCGGGTTCTAGTCCTGGTTGCTCCTCTTCCAGTCCAGCTCTCTACTGTGGTTCTGGAGGGCAGTGGAGGATGGTTCTTGGGCCCCTGCACCCGCATGGGAGACCAGGAGGAAGTACCTGGCTGTTGGCTTCAGTTTGGTGCAGCGCACCAGCCATGGCAGCCATTTGGGGAGTGAACCAATGAAAGGAAGACCTTTCTCTCTGTCTCTCTCTCACTGTCTAACTCTGCCTGTCAAATGAAAAAAAAAGATTTCCGTAATTATTTGAAAGGTAGAGTTATGGAGAGAGGGAGAGACAGAGGTAGAGGCAGAGGCAGAGACAAAGGGAGGGAGGGAGGGAGGGAGGGCTGTCTACAGGAAGAATATTCTGCTGAGTTCACATGATTCTTTTTTGCATTAATTATTGGCCAGGTAAAGATTATTTCATTGATGAATATTTTCAATTTTTTAATGAATTATTTTAAAAATCCCTTTACTTTTGTTCCAAGAGAAAAAATACATAAATGGAGAGACTAGATCACCTTTCAGTGCATTTTATGGGTCAGTTTACACATATATCAAAACCAGACCAAGAGATTTCAAGAAAGCAAAATTATCATTATACCTCATGAATAAAGGTGAGAAAATCCTCAAGAATATATATCAAGGCATATCAAAAAAATAAAACTAATATAAATATAAAGGGTATTTATTCCAGTAAGGTAAGTTTGAATTACATGAAATCATAATTGATGTTGAAATATCTGTGGAGTTTAGGGGCTTAGCAAAAATGAAGTTTAATTAGATGAAACAGAATTATTTTGGGCAGTGAAGTTACTCTGTATGATGTTCTCATATCACACAATGTATTATTTTTCAAATGCTACAGAACCTATGTCACAGAGTAAACATAAACACATACAAATTTTAAAAATATATGCTAGGTTGGGGGTGCTGGGAGCAATGTGGACTTAATAATATAACCACTTAACAAACATATAACAACCGCACTAAAAGGAGTAGGGAAAAAGGAATGATGGAAGAAACCGAATAAATAACTGGAGATTCTGAGTCTAAAAGCCGAAGTATTTGTACTAAGTACTGTACTTAGTTGACAAAGTTGTTTGCCAGGGGGGCATGGATTAAAGTTTCTTAAAATACAAGGTATATGTTACATGATTCAATGATTAAGTGAATGAGGTCAATTTTCTCATCATTTGAGTGTGAGTTTATACATAAACAGGTATTTATGAGGGTTGGATTTATGTTTTCCTGGATCAGATTTATGAAATGCTGAAGAAATTCCTTGAAATTTACATTTAACTAATACAGATATGTATGGAGAAGAGGGCAAATATTTACACACGTATGTCTATGTGCAAAGTAATATATACATATATGTCCTTCTGTGCAGTCAGATGACAAAGAATAGTCTACAGACCCCTAATAAAAATTAGTTCATCCACTGCACAGAACTTTAATTGTAAAACACTTCTAACAAATGAGAATTCCTTGAGTAGGCCATCAAAAATCCTGGAGCAGCTTACAGTATCAGAAAATAAGAAAATACTTAACACAAAATCAATTAGCGATACAAATAAAATAAAATCACAATGGTATCAGTAGAAAAACCAGCTGAAAGATCTTCTAAGAGAGCCAATACTGAAAAACTTTGAGCAGCAAAATAAATGAGCTTGCATTAAATAAAGTGTAGAATATCCATGATTTCATAGCATAATCCATGTGATATAAATAAATGATAATCGTTATCCCAATTTTGACCTGGCTTCTGCTAATGCAGCTAGGAAAGCAGTAGATGATGTTCCAAATACCTAGGTTCCTGCCACCCACAAGGAATCAGTGCTGGCATGGCCCAGGACTGTCTATTGTAGGCATGTATCTTTCTCTCCCTCTCCCCTCTCCCTTCCCCCTTTTCCCCTCCCCCTCCCCCCTCTCTCCCTCTCTCTTTCAGTGTTACACTGCCCTTCAACTAAAAAAATGATTCTTTAAAAATAAATACTATCACCGTCGCTGCGGCTCACTAGGCTAATCCTCCGCCTAGTGGCGCCGGCACACCGGGTTCTAGTCCCGGTCGGGGCACCGGATTCTGTCCTGGTTGCCCCTCTTCCAGGCCAGCTCTCTGCTGTGGCCCGGGAGTGCAGTGGAGGATGGCCCAAGTGCTTGGGCCTT